AAATTGAGAGTCACAGTTTACTTTGACTGTTGCATAAAACGGACAATTTTATATTTTTATATATTTGAAGGGGGTAAGTTTCTAACGAAACTGTGGCGCTGCGTCGGCGGGAGAGCATAACAAGGTAATTTGGTATTATCAACTCCGTTGATAATACCAAATTACATAATACTCCGTTGATAATACCAAATTACACTGTGCATATATTTAACCATGGTTAGCATGGTTGCCGCAGTCATTAGGAGTTTGAAACAACCTGACTTTTCCCTAACGAACGTGAATGTTATCCTGACCAACCTAATGGACAATTTCACAAATAAATTCTGATATTGACTTTCAACCTCCTCACCCTGTCATCCTCTCCCCCCATAACTTTATATTTTTAGCAAGTCACAAAAATGTACACGAATGGTTTAAGTTCCTTTAGGAAACATGAAAAAGAATTGATCTTCTTGAAGTCCAACATCAGCTTGTTGTTGAAAATCATTTCCTAAAATTCTGCGGATCCAACACCTTTAGTGTCTGTGAGGTGTACAGAGTGATTTAAAGTTTTAGCAAACAAAGAAAATAGAAGAAAAATATGTATGGTTTCACCAACTTGAAACTTATACTGCAAAGGAAAAGGATTTGCTGGTCAGGAATATGTCAACTGTTTTAAACAATGTACATGAAGAGCATCAACATCACAAAAAGGGAAGTGTCACCATCTTTTATCATATAGAAGGCCCAGACAAGTTCAACAACTTCATGCTCACTAGCAATTTCACATTTTCCTGACTTCTTTCATCGATGTAAGTTTTCTCTCACTCAAAGTGAAATTCCCTGACTTTTCCCTGAACTTGGAAAAATTTCAGTTCCCATGACTTTTTCTAACCAGAGGCAACCATGTTAGCTACAATCAGACTTGTTTCAATAAATTGTACATCATTTGTTTGATACTCAGTTCCAGTCTCACTGGATTTATTCATTTAGGTACATACATTAAAAAAATTTGCCTTCCTTATTTGCAAATTATTTCATTAAATTTTTTTTTTAAATTAGTTAGATGGTAGAAATATCTAAATGTTTGCTTTGGACTTGGTGAGAGTAATTTTCTATGGTCTAAAAAAAAAAAAAAACCATAACCCCTTCTAAAGGCAAACAGAAAGGAAAAAACCAAAACAGAACAAAAGACTATTATAATAATAAAAAACAACAACTACAACAAAAAGTCTCCTGCAGTTGGAGGGAACACTACACTGAACCAAAACTCCAAGTTGTTACAGTCATAAACTGAGTTAAACTGTCCAAGCTTATCATGACAGCCATGTAATACATTATACTACATCAGTACTGCTACCACTGCAATAATTTCCATGCAAAAGAAACATTATGCAAAATTACCCAGAGTCATTATAGAATGAGCAGCAACATACATTTTCTAATAATACTCATCTATTTCTTATCGCAGCTGTATACAAGAAACATATTCTACATCACAGAACAAATAAACTAAAAAGCCCTTTAAAAAACCTATTCGACAGTTACATATGACATGTTAGTTATTTTTTTTGTTTATTTCTCCCTATCTATCAGTGTTTTTCTTCATCTTTAGTTTTGAATTTCTTATTTAATGATGTCAGAGTAATTTTGATGGTTTTCTCCACTGAGTTTAAATTGATATCTGACCACCAGCACTGTGACAGTTCACTCCTTTACTAACATTACTTTGTGAAGCCAAGAGTTGTCTCCTCTCAATCATGAAGATTGATTTTCTTCTGGCAGGAAGACTTGACACAGGATAACCTTTTTTGGGGAAGATTTCCATTTTACACTTTGTTATGGTGACACAGTGTTCCTGTAACCATAATATTCATAATACCTGCCATAAAAGAAAAGAAACAAATATTAGAATAAAACTAATTCACTGCATAATTAAGCAGCTGGACAGATAAAAAAAAGCCTTTCCAACACCACCCCTGGAGATTACAAATTTGGCAATTTTTGATTACTATGTATGCTCAATATAATTGCTCTGGTAATAAGAAAGATGTGTGCACTCTGATTGGTTAATGAGTGCATCATACCTTGCTATAATCACCTGGCATGAGGTGCTTAATAGCAGGGTCACTGAATTTTAAAAACTGGCTGCCACTACATGTTTTGTCAATGTTACCATCAAGTGATCAATGTGCCAGAAGAAAACTCAATTCTAAGTTTGGCATAACACTATGGAAAAGAATGATATAAATTTTTTGCTGATTAAATTAAATAAACCTGCTAAATTCCAGGGGAAAATAATTGCTTATCTCAGCATGTGTACTGGTAATCAAAACAATTGTAACAGAATGGTTTCAACAACAACATGAATTTACAACAGAATTCAAAAGCACCTGAGTAATTATA